CAACATCTCCAGTCTCTGCTAATTTCAAATTAATTGTTTTATTATGGGGCATGTAACAGATATGGAGCACGTCATTTTAATGAAGCTACTGCACAGTCAAAGGGTTGTTGACTACAGATCAGAGTTTCCAGTGTGAATACAGCACAATGTGTTAACTGGGATAAACACGCAGATTTTTAACAATTAATGTCTGAATTAACATTGATAACTTTACTGCAAATCTCATAGCGCTGGTATCCAAGTCTGCTATGTTCCCCCATGTATGTATGTACAAATAGTGTAGGCTTAAAATATTCAGTCTAATTTCATATTTGATGACAACATGAGAAAATTGATTACACAAAAAAGATAAATCAGTGAAATCATATTCAAGAGGCATTTCTGCTGATAACAAACCTATTCCGCCTATCTCCTCTTACAGAAGATACAGGGACTGCGGAGCAGTTAAAACCATTGCAATCAATGGAGATCTATTTTGCAAAATGCAAAAGGATTGTATGGTACAATACACAAGCTCTAAACACTAAGATCTTTTTCAATTAGGAACCTTTTTGTCATATGCAAGGACTACAGTAAGGCAATTGATTTCAAGACACGCATGCATTTAAGGTATTGAATGTCTTCAAAAGCTTGATGTTTCAGACTTAGGGAAAATGCATTTTGATGGTTATTATACTGAATCTAATGCTTTCTAGGGGGATGTATATTCAGGGAAGCATTTAAGGTAACATTCACAGTCCTTTAATTTTCATTTTCAATCATTTACATACTGGTTTGGAAAAGGAGAAGCATTAAACACACACATGCTCCTTGTTGGAAAGTGAGGTTAAGTATACAATGCAGCAGGTAGCAACAGGAGCTTGTATAACTCAGTTAGCGATCCTGAAACCTCTGCCACTGTAACCATAAACCCCAGGGGGGAAATATGAAGGTTCACATACTGTATTACATCAGCTATGAATCATTATTCTACGGCCATGGCAGCAAAACCTCCTCCTCTGGTGACATATTGCAGCAGGGAAACACCAATGAATTCAGACTACAGTATGTAGTACTAACATCCGCTGGTGGCCACTAACACCTGCTTACATCTGCTGGTAGTTGGAAACCTAAATTGTGCAGAGGAGCTTCAAACGTACAACGGATATTCAACATCTTGTCCTATATTCTTAATGATTGTAGCTGAATGCATCCAGTGGCCGCTATGAACAGGATAGTTAACAACAAGGGAAAGACCTTGTGACTGTGAGGACAGACAGCTGACTGGGGGGAATAGACCCCACTGGGCTGGCATGGGTTAGCTACCCATACTGGCAGGATGCAATACAAATTGGTATTTGGAGACACTCACTAATGGTTTCGAAAGCAATTTAAATGAAAAAATACCCCCTAAGTTGGCGAGAGTGGGGAGTTTGTATCATTGATTACAAGGCCAAAACACTTGATGACGCTATCGTGCACAACAGAAGCTATGTCCCTAACATCCGCTGGTGGCCATTATCACCTGCTAACATCTACTGGTAGTTGGTAACCTAAATTGTGCAGAAGTCCATCAAACGTACAAGGGATAATCAACACCTTGTCCTATATTCTAAATGTTGTTTGCTACAACATGGCCGCACTCCTCCATACATGTCCCTGGACTCTACACTTTAATGTCTGCAATGTCACAGTTAACAAAAGGGTGGCATCTCATGAACCCCAACTGGCTCTGCAAGCTCCACATCACCAACACATGTTCACTCCACTGTTAAAGAGTGACTCCGTTAGGTATTGTCAAAGAACAAATTGAACAATTTTGGAAATACATGTGTTTATCATAGCCTGTATATAAAGATGAACAATGTAACAACCCCTAAAAGTGAAGCCAAAATGTTGGGGGTTGCTGGCTACAATATAAATCATGCCTCCTCCATGTTAGCGGATGAAACATGGACCATACTAAAAAGTCAAAGTAGACGTCAAATAAATGTAATGGTTTTTAGGTAGTTCTTATCACACTGGTGGATGTCCCAGTGCTAATATCTCCAATAAGTTTGGTTTTAATGAATTATTTGATGCTATCAAATCAGTTTTAAACATGATGATTGACAGCTGAGCCTGACTCTCTCTAACAGGTTACGTTCTTAAGGCTTCGTATCTGGATGGAGGGAGGAAGTAGAAATGCGTCGTCCATCTTTATTTACAGTCTAAGGTATTCAATAATATGAAGCTATAGCCAGCAGCTGGTGAGCTTAGTTTAGCATTAAGACAGAGAATGGGGCAATAGCTGGTTAGTCATAGAACTAGTAATTTTCAAATGAATTTAACAATTCATGTGTATAATTTGTTTACCAATGAGGAAGTCAGCTTAGCATAGTGTAAAGACTGGCACTACACCTAAGCTCGTAGACAAACTGTTTTATGGGGTATTATGTGCCAAACTATTTCTTGGTTGGCACAAATTGCTAGGTAACCCATGGAGGTTACTGGTTTTCAGGCATCAAAACTGGAGGCAGCTAGCCTAGCTCTCCCCAAGGAATCTGCCTCCAAGACTAGCTCGTTTAAAGCAAACAAATTAATATGTTCCGCCCCGTCTGTTGAATACGATAGCCGAGAGAGTTCAATGCACTGGACACATTTCCATTGTCTTTATTTGCAGTGCGTTTCTTTTATTTGCACGTGTTGTGACGTTTTGCACCGCATATGTTGTCAACTTGATGAAGTTGTTTTCTTAATTTGCTTTTTTTTTTTCAATTTGCATGTGTTTTCTTACTTTGTAGTGCATTTAACCCTCTCAGCCATCATAATTCAATTAGATTTTTATGACAAAATAGCTTCTGGTCTTTATGCTAAATTTGAGCTTTAGCTTCATATTCACAGCACAGATGTGAAGTGCTGTCAATCTTCTCATCTAACTGTCAACAATACATCAACATGCATTTTTCCAAATCTTTCCAAATATTCTTCAACACTTGAAATACCTGTGTTTGTGGGTAGGTAAATTCTGAATGCTGCATCTCATCAGTCTGTTGACGGATTGTGTGAGAGACATGACAGTGACCTCTTCAGTCATCCACATGTAGATAATTGAAAGCTATACTGTAAGTAGAAAAATAGACTTTAAAGAGTCCTCTGTATTATATACATCTATCTTGTATGGCTTTACCATAATGGCATGCAGGAAAAAACTAAGACAAGCCTGAAGATTGAACTACCTGAGTCATTTTTCTCTAGTCCTCTCAGTGAGACTGGGGAGTGAAGGAAATTATTCAGCTCTATGCTCTGAAGTGATAAAATACAACATAGGACAGATCTAGATCCGTGTCACACCTTGAGAGCGCTTTTTAAGATGTTCCAGTTCCTCATGTGTATATACATTTATGGCATGTCTCATATTCACAGTGTAAAGGGTGATGAGCGTGAGGAGAGAGCAGAGATCTGCAAGAAAAAGGAAGCAGGAGGGTTTTGGTGCAATGTGTGTGAAGTGAATGCAGAGATGAAGAAGTGAGCGGCCCGCGAGGATATTAAGATGATGAAGATGGACGCCAGGAGGAGTTGATTTGAGAGGCAGTTGATCTATATCGGTTGTGAATTTGGAATTTATTCTCTCTCCTACAATCAATGTCTTCTCCTCTGTCTTCCTGTTTACAAACATTTACATCACAGATTCCTCAGAGTAGATCGCTCCTGGCAACACGGACATCGCAAATGAAGCCTGACAGGGTAGCACCCTGTTTCCGAAAAACGTCTATCCATTAAATCTTGGCTACACATTTACACGGAAATCAAGAGGAAAATCAACCTCTACAGGCTTTCTTTCACCCTGGATGAAAACGGAAAATGTCCAGGAAGGATAAATCAATACAAGAATCTATAAAGTTTGTGTTCCCACTCCAGCGAAAGAGATTGAACCGGCTGTGTTTGATTAATTTACCATAATGTGCCAATAACAATAATTTGCTTCCTTTCAATCCCTTATATTTAACTTCAAGCAAAAATAAACTCACCCTCCGTTTATTTAGTTTTAAAAATACATAAGTCTGCTTTCAACGAATAATTAATACATTGCAAGCTTTTATCATTTGTTTTCCTCGCAGACAGCTGAAGGCTTTAAAAAAAAAACACTGAGACAGAAACAGTTGGAAGGTGCCGTCTTTTACCCTTCAAGTCAAAGTCTCAGCCACCAAAGCATGTTGCGAGCTGATAAGAAGGCCTGTTCCTCTCTCACGAGAAATGGATTTTCATTCTTCAGCATGGCTCTTTTCCTCCATCTCCAGCAATGGGGAAACTACTCTTTGTAGCCCCTTAATCTCTTAAAAACCTCTGTTCACTACAGCCCCAACAAAATCAGCTACATCACTGCCATGCTTTCCACACACCGCCCCAGAAATGAAAGTAGTCACCTGAGGGTAGAAACTTGACCCGTGTCAAGAAAGAATGGGGATTGCACAATCAATTGAAGGTCTAGAAATGGTGCAAAAAAATGCATGAAAAGTATAATGCATAGTTCAGTATGTGCTATATCATTCTGTGATTACACTCGTCATGTCTATATCATTCTGTGATTACACTCGTCATGTCTATATCAGTATTAAATATGTACATTCATATAAACTGGCAAACTCCCACGAAGAATTAAGATTGCACTGACTACCTCCCTTGACTCAGAAGATTTCAGTCATGTAAGTCATATATATTGAGCATGTACAACAAACTATTTCAGCGGACTGATATTTAAGAGATATTTGTTCTTGGTTGGGTTTAAAATTAATGAAATGGGTGATGGGTGGTCCCCATGCTTCCCAATTTACTTAAGTTTTTGTTAATGATGACTCTGTGGTTCTCTCTTCATGCCATCATCATCAAACCATCAAAATCATTGCCTGTAACGTCACCACAGGCTTGTATTTCCAAAAGTATCTAAATAAAATTCAAAATGTATCATGCATAACAAGTTACACTGGTGATCCATTTCAAAAGCGTCAGGGTTTGTTGCACATCCTGTTTGACTGTGCCTTCTACCTTGAGTTACTCGTCTCTGCCAGCCTGTTGTTCATGATACCGAGGGCGCCAACCCCCCCGGAGAAACCATTAATGCGCGAGCTGCCACAGACTGTCCTGGGATATCCATTGGCTGACTCAGATAGCTGCTTCTGCATGATGGCCAGTGACACCTTGTTGGAGGCTGCCAGGTCTTTCATGGAGATCATCTCCCCGGATAGTCTGCGTCCCTCAGTGTCACTATCACAAGGTTCTTCGGAGTCGGGTGGCTGGCCAAACCGACCCTGGCGACCCCGGGAGCCCGGTCGGATGGCGTTGCGTCTGCCCAACAAGACGTTGGCGTTACTGCAGCGCTGGCAAAACAAGCAGCTCATTTTCTCTAGGATCCAGTTGAGCACCTGCTTGATGACGATAGAGATGACATTGAAGAGCGAGTAGATGCAGCACACGCCCATTAGCATGAAAAGGAAGTTGGCCACCCTGTAGAGGCTTTGGTATTCATAAGCGGCGCTCTGGCTGCTGACGTAGTCCCCAAAGCCGATGGTGCTAAAGGTGACGAAGCAGAAGTAGAGCGAGTCTAAGTACGCCCAGCCCTCAACGGGGGTGTACATGGCTGATGCACAGCAGGAGATGGTGATGGCTGACAGGCCGAGAATCAGCATCACATGGTACACAGAGGGCTTCCAGCCTGGGAGGGAGTAGGCTGAGAAGTCATGGCGAATGCCTGGCGGGAGTAGACCACTGTTCCTGATTCGTCGCTCCCTTACGGCCTTCATCACCACGGCCAGCAGAGTGATGATGCGCTCCAGGAAAAGGTTAAAGAAGAGGATGGTGGCAGCGCAGCCCAGAAGACCATAAAAGATCAAGAACACCTTTCCTGCGACTGTCACAGGTGTTGTCATCCCAAAACCTGTGGAGACACAGGAGCAATATTAGACAGTGAGTTCCTTGAGCGAGTTTAAAAAGAAACTTTCAATTGCAGAGTGTCTTCAGTTTCCTCACAAGAAATTATGTTGCTGGTTTGAGATGAGGGAAGTGGTGCGTGAAAGCCAAACAATCTCAAATCTAAATGAGCTTTTCAAATAAGGCTTAAATCTTAGTTGTAAATATTTGTGGCAGTAATGAAAAATATCTTAAAGGGGGCTTGATTTGGGCACACACAAGTGATATCAAGGAAATACTGGGTGATAATTTGTGATGATTAATTTGTGAAAGTCACAGTAATGAGAAAAGTGACAATAGGGTAATAAATAATAATAGGAACATTCTGCATTGCAAGTGAAGATACATGCTGTGAAATAAGAAATAATGAGGAGAAATAGCAACTAATGTAAAACCAAAAGTTACAATTACTGGATGTAGAACAAAATACAAAACACGTGTATGACATATATGAGTTGTATCCAATGACAGTCTCACACTTAACATTTTATTAAATTAAATAAACATTATTCAGAAGCTTGACACTGACATAAGTTAGATGATATTAAAGAGACATTTTTTTTCTTTCCTTGTGCCTCGTATGTTTTTTTGTTTAATTGTAAAGATCTGCAAAGTCAGCAGTAAAGAAACTCCTCCCTTGCACAGAAATCACTGCTCCTGAAGCTCCTCCTGAAGCTCCTGAAGCTCCTGACCATCATCAGTCGTCCAGCCAACATTTCTGCATCATCGTGACATCTCAATGCCTCACATTTGCATAATGCACAACTAGCAGCTAGCCTGACGAAGCAGATAAAGCGAGAGCAGAGGCTGACATTCATACTCGCGCTGGAAGCAGTTGACCAATCACAAGAGAGTGGGCCAGCTGGCCAATCATCGGGAGGGGGGCCTTAAAGAGACAGGAGCTAAAACCAAGTGATTAAGACAGAGGCTGAAAAGAGGAGCTGCAGCAATGGACAGTCTGAGGAAAGTGATGTGTTAGCTAAATTAAAGCATGTAATCCTTTTAAACTAATAACCGACATTTGAATATGAACCTGAAAATGAGCATAACATGTCTCCTTTTACAGTAAGTATATGTTTGCACACAAAGCCATATGCCGTTGTGTATACAACATATGTTTATATAGAGTATTTTCTATAATGTTCATTACTGTTGGTGGGGCCTGGAAAATCAAGGACGCAGGGGTCATATCGAAGGGAGGAGATTGTCAGGAATAAGCTTAGGTAAGCCTTTTGAATCCTTTTTTTTCTGGGCTGTGCGGTTTGGCCTCCTGCTATTTTCTGATTTCTTAGTCAATTAGACTGAATGTTCGAGCAGCGGCAGGGGGTTATGAGAGGAGAGGAGAGGAGAGGAGAGGGGAGGAGATGAGAGGATGTTTATGGATTCTGTTGCATGTTGAATGTGCACTTCTCTGTTTCAAGAGTGTCACAGGTGCTACTTACAAATTCTTTTACCACTTAAACACACTAACAGCAAATACACAGTTTAAATCCTTAATCCTTCCAATATTTGTTGTAGTTCATAACATAATAATACAATTATTATAAGGTACTTCCAACCATAAGTGTTAAACCAGCCTGACCGAATTGCCATTGCTGAAAAGTGTAAATTGAAGTGAAGATACAATATAAATATAAACATTATAAATTGTATGCATATAGATATTATAGATATATTTTTTTATACAAGTGTAAAATCCACACATATTCGTCAGCTAGAAGGAGACTTTAATTAATGCACCACACATCTATCACATCTGCTGTTGTTTGATTTCTCATGTGCAATCATTCTCCTCTTACATGTGTACATTATATGGTTATTTGTTTTCACACACACACATCACCCATTCTTTTATATTCCAGGGTCAATGTGAGCATACACACACATGTGCATGCACACACAGACACACACACACACACACACACTTGAAACCACAGGCAATGTCACCCAACAAATAAAATCGTGCTGAAAGATCAACTAGTTCACTTCCAGGCCAAGGTTAATTGATTCTTTCATCATGTCCATCCACCATTTCAGTCTTCTCTGAAGATGAGGGCAGCGCGTTTCCCCCATTAAACGTGAATCTGTCTCTAACCATCCTTGTCAGGTAATAAATGACATCAATATCCAGCCAGTGGTTCCTTTATGATGCCCAAAATGGCTTTTTCGACCTTATCTCTCCCACTGGAAACCACTCTTGTGTGGGTTTGCTGTTGACACGCTGGGTCATTTAGATCAACGCTGATTGATACAGATTGTGTTTTAGAGCCAAGGGAAAATAAATATAAACCCACGTATACACACACATTATGGTCTCACACACACACATGCACAGATTTACTTTTCTAGGTTTTCTACATTACATCAGACATTGAAAAATCTGGTGTTGTCAACAGCCTTTTCAGACATGAAGTCCAGAGAAGGTGAGAATTAGGTTCGGACTCCGTGGAGTTTGCCTTTCACACATGAAGAACGCAGCGGGAGATTCTCCTCTCAGACGTGCTCAAAACAACAGGAACATCTCCACATCGTCCGGGTGAGGGGTGGTGCAGTAGGCAGAGACAGGACAAAACATATCATTTCCGCTGCAGTGTCTTTGTTTACACTGGCATGAGATCACATCAAAAGCTCTCTTGACATCTGCATTGGTGTCTTCTGAGTTATTTGTTTTCTTTTTTCATTTTTGCATATGTCTCCTCTCAGAAACGTGCCCAACTCCTCCAGAAGATCTTGTACTGTTTTTTCACATGAGCTCACTTAGACATTCCCCAGGTTTTTTTATTTAACCAGGGGGTCGGCAGGAAAAACTCCAGAGAAAGTTCAGCGCCTCTCCGGAGAACATCAGGAGATTACTGCTATTCATTGCATGTCTGAAAGCAGCTAAAGAAAGTAACATACAGTAGCGCAGTAACACACAGCCAGGCACTGTTGGCTAACAGGATGGTGAGGGGCAATGATAACCCAAATTAAGCCCTCCAGTGAAATCCTATTTTCCTGTTTCATAGTTAATTAATTAGCTGCCCATGACTCTCTAACCCAACTGAATCAGAGGGAAAACAGATTACATCTTTTCAGTGCGCGCAGAGGCAGTCCTTTGCACCGTCTCTCATTACCAAGTAAATTACCTAAGAGAGGAAAAGGCACCAGGCATCGATTCAGTGTAGCGTTTCAGAGCCATTACTCCAGACTACTGTGTCAAGACGCATTAGGGACAACAAAACAATAATAGAAGGTAAAGGACTGAGCTGAAACCAAACACGCAAACACTCTGGGACTTTATTCACAAATACTTCTTTATTTATACTTTAAAACTAAAGGTTGAAGTGCCAGGAACAGACCAATGATCCTGCTGCTGACCTCACACAACACTTTGCACTCTGTCCAAGCCAGGATGAGATTTTAATCCTGCAGAACTTGATCAAGCAGGACATCATATGTGTGCTAATCCAATTCAATCAAAGCCTTGGGAGAATATTTACCCATTTGCATTAAATAAGGTATGCTCAACTCAACATTGAAAATGATGCTTGCATACTCAATTACACACTGGAGATTCAACCAGAGGGAAAGTGATGGAAATGGTGCCATTAGTATCCATTAATTACCATTTGACAGCTTTGCACAGAGAAGAAGAAGCAGCTTTAATGATTATCAGACTGTGGGGAAATGAAATGTGGGGAGAGACCTAGATAGATCATAAGCGGACCGCAGTGACTCCAGCGTTCAGGTCAGCATTTATTGTCAGGGATCGAGGTAAAATCACATGTTCTGAGGGGCAATCACGGAGTTGACACAATTTAGAAAGAGCAGCTCTCATTACAGGCCAATGGCAAGTTACAATGGCTCATTAAAGGGGGCAGTAAAGTCAGGACCTAAATAGCACAAACCACAGAGTGCTGCTAATAGATGTATTGATGGACTGCTCTGCATTTCATTTGCTCCCCTTAGTAGAGGACTCCTCTCCAAACAGTAATTAGTCATGAAATTTTACACCAAAGGAACCACTCTGAGGGAAACAGGGCTGTGCAATCAGACTCAACAGGTTTTTCATTATGTGAGGAGTTGTCAGCACAAAGGAGCTAACAGCAGCTGTGAAATGGTCCAAAGTGTCCAAACTCTCCACAGCTCAGAGAGCAGGAAGTCAAATTTACTCTGGCATATTTTCAATGTACCTTTAAAAATAACGAGATAATCATAGTGAGGTTTTTTTTTAAATCAGAGATTAAACAGCGAGGCTGGTGATATTCTGTGACTGTCAACAAATCACATGAAAAGACCAAAAGCAACAGCATGTTCATAAAATTTCTTAACTTTTGAACCACAGGCCCACTGATTACCTCCACTAGAGAGGTTATATTTTCAACAAGGTCCATTTGTGTGTTGTTTTATGATATTTGTTTGTTTGTTTGTTATCAAGATTAAGCAAAAACTACAGGACGGGTTTCCTCAAAACTTGGTGGAAGGATGCAGGGTAGATCAAGGAAAAACTTATTTAATTTGCTGTTGATCAAGGATACTTTTTTCACTTCCTTCAACATTTCAAGTTTGATTTTTATAATCCACTAAACCCCACTTCTGTTAAACTCATATTTTCAGTGGGATAATTGATGCCTTTTAAAGCTTCAGTCAATATTTACACAGATATTTCCATGGATCACCAGGTCAACACTGATTTAGTCAGAATCTTTTACCTGACCATTTTTCAGTTTTAGACTCTGAGCCACTGCCATGGGTATTTTTCTTTAAGATCAAAAATCATGCATTAATACCTAAGTAATAATTTGTCTGTTTGATTGTTTGTTTATTTGTTTGTGAGCAGGTTTCTTACTACTGTGGTATGACCCAAGAATGAACCCAACGGACGGATGCAGAATTGTTGTCCCTTTTCTTTAACATTGTCCACTAGTTTTTTTTTAACATTTTCAATTTATAATAATTCATGGATCTTGATGAAAAAGATCAGGCTTT